CTCCAGCTCGCGAATCCTCCCCAACAGATCAGTGTGGGAAATCAAAATCATCTCCTCGTCCGTTTCGCCCTCGACGGAACGAAGTGAGTCCTCCAGCTCCCCCACACAAGCCTGCAGCTTCAATAGTTCCTCCTCGGCAGCTTTCACTTTTTCCTCAGCATCGACCCCCCTCTTACGTTGCGCAGCCACTTCCACATTGCTCAGGTCCAGCTCTGTAGTCAGCTTAGTCAACCTCGATTGAGAAAAGGTGAGGTCACCTACAACATGACCAGCTCAACAGAGGAGCAATCCTCATCACTTAGAACTAGGGATGTCGAGAAAACACGCATCATGGCGGCCAGATCCTCAATAAGCACCTATCTCTGAGCCTCCCGACTCGCCCCGAGGACTGCCTTCGCTTCCGAGACCAGCACAGCTGGCGATCTTGCACCATGAAAAACCTGGGCATCTGGTGGCAAGGGGATGAGAAATCCCTCCTCGGAGAATCCCTCCATGAGGTCGACGACGGTCTCCGACGGCTGAGCTCTAGCCCGCTTCGCAGCCCCTTGCAACGTCAGGGAGTGACTGCCTTGTGGCGATGACGAGGATCCCCTTCCTCCCTGATTTGCAACGGCCTGCTGTACCACCTGGGCAACTCTGCTCTTCCCGGCTTTTATCGAGGCTCTAGAGGCCGCAAATTTCCTCACGTGCTCTTCGACGGACGACATGCTCCCTGCAAAACAAAACAGTAAAAGGTCAACAAACGAACAAAACGACCAGAATGTCGGGCAGAATGTTGACCACCACCTAGGAAACGGATAGCCTTTGTGTTGATCAGCCTCCTCTGGTGGCAAAAGCGCCCCTGGCTGTCGAGGATATAGTTGTCGTCGGACGTCACCAGTCTGGGCGGAGGTAAGCTGGCCACGAAGAATATTATCTTCTAATACCCCGCAAAGTCTTCCTTGTCCATAGTCCCCACCCGCACTATATAATGATATGTGCCCTTCTTGAAGTTCTCCTCTGCCCACTCCAAGGGCACCCTCGGCACCATAACAGCTTCTCGCTGCTCATTCACCTCGCGGGATTCTCGCCGATACAAAGAGGCACACACCTCATAAGAAATGGGTCGAACCACGAAGAAGCGCGCCTTGAAGTCCCAGACAGAATCCATGTATGCCCGGAACAGTCTCCTCGGCTGCTTCAGCGACACCCACCCTTGCTGGCCATCGACCGTTTGCCTCTGTAAGTGGAAAAGGCGAAAGAAGAGCGATAAAGTGGTCCCGACCTCCAGATGCCTGCAGACGAGCTCGTACGCCCGGATGAAAGCTATGGCATTGGGATACAACTGCAAGGGAGCCAACTTCAACCAGTCAAATACCCCCAGCTAAAAATCTGTAAAGGGAAGCCTGAGACCAGTCTCCCGAAAGCAAAACTCGTACATCGAAAATCTCATCCTCCCGTATGTCGAGCGGATACGATAATGCTCCCATGGCCGGTACACCTGCCAACCAATGGGAGAATCCGCGCACCTGTCCTTGACAGTCGCAAAGACACCAGTCTCGTCATCGACAAAGTAGGAGGGCGTACTCAGTGGTTCTTCAGCTACCCAGTCCTCGACTGACCGGGTTCGTACTTCGGCAGCCGGAGCCTCTGGCTCCATGTCAACGTCCATGGTCCACGGGACCCGCGAAGTCATATTCACCTGAAAAGCAGAAGGAAATGGTGAATTCGACGTTCAAGATCAAATTCACCCTTCCACCGTAGGTCAAGTGAAAGAGCGACGGGGACAGCGGTCACGACGGCTGCAGTTCGCGTTCATGCGGCGTCCGTTCTACCTGGGCATCCCTCCTCGGGTGATTCATCCAATCCCCGTCAGTGTCCCCGGGGCATGCGTCTAACCCTATCGTACGCCCCGGGGTACTCATCTAAAACTAATATGTATCTCTGGGATCCCCATCCTCAACAGCTCAATCGTCCCCGGAACATTCACGCTACAACCCTAAACGTCCTCGGCGACTTCATTCTAAACCTAAGGATACGCCGCCGTATTCGAAGGAGGACCCTCGCCCTCCTCGGGGCATTCATCATTCCCCCGACGCCGGTATCAAGTATAAAGAAAGTAAAAGATTCGAAGAAAGGAACTTATTGGATTGGAAGTAAAGGCGGAGTACGCGGCGGATGCTACGGCGGTGCTGGCAAACAAATGCGAGTGCTGAATTCGAACGTCACGTGCGTAAGTAAAAGCGAAAAATGGTAAATGGGAAAAGGCCTGCCTATTTATACATCCAGCGCTGGACTCGAAGCGCCCCTAGGAACTCGAGTACCCTAGGGTAGCTGCCCTACGTGACCCATCGACAGTTAGACACGTGTCCACCGCAAACAGTCGCGTCCCTTCGTTCTCCCCCGCGAACACAGACAGGCGAGGACGTACCAACCTTCCCCCTCCTCGACCTGATGGCCCGACAAGACTGAGATTCCCGCCCTCCCGCATCCTCGACAAGGCAGACCGACAAAATTTCTTCCTCGTGCTCCTCGTCGTCGACACAGCAGACCCGCGAAGAACCTTCCTCGTACATTCTTCCTCCCCGGCACAGTATCATCAAGTCCTCGCTCCTTCACTTTGGAGCTACGACTTGGGGGGCTCCTGTTCTGGACTAGGCCTAGGCTGCCCATCCGTCGGACAGGCCCAACCCAACGCTATTTGGAAAAGGCCCAAATTGGCCCAAATCGCTCAGTGTCGGGCACAGTTTCCCCCGTCGGGCAGAACAACACGTTCTCCACGGACCCCCTCCGCGGGGACACGTCATCAGCCAACTACCCACCTCCGAAAGAACTGGTCAGTCCATCTTCCGGAGATCACGGGACGGTTGAACTAGGGCGAAGACCACATGATGGTTTTCACTACACCACGTAAGCCCTAGCAGTCACCTGGGTTGGGCCTGGCAATGCAGCCCAACACAAGTGACCGTTGGTCGCTGGGGTCTCACTATAAATACCCTCTTTCACTAGAGGGTCAAGTATTCACTTCTTAACCTCTTCTCTGTATTTGCTCCCACTCTGGTCCATTACTTACTTTGGCATCGGAGTATCTTGCAGGTACACCCCTCTCCTCCTCCATACTTCCGGTGAACAGCTAATAGATCAACGATGCGTGGCAGGTCACTGATTCCCTTCTGATCAGGTAAGATCAGTGGCGCCGTCAAACGTGTCATGTCAGAACCACCCGTCTTGATGAGGCCTGAGGTCCGGGAAACCCTCTATTTGTACTTGGTTGTGTCAAACGTGATCGTGAGCGCCGTGCTAATCCGGGAAACCTTTGGCGGACAGACACTGATCTACTTCATGAGCAAGGCCCTCCACGGCCCAGAAGTAAGATATCAGCAGATTGAGAAAGTCTCCCTGACCCACATCAACGTGTCCAGGAGGCTCCACACTACTTCCTGGCCCACACCATCGTAGTCAGAACCGAGCAGCCTATCAAGCAGTTGCTCGGCCGGCCCGACATGGCAGGGCGCATGCTAAAGTAGTCGTTGGAACTCTCCGAGTTCGACATCGTCTACGAAGGCAGGAAAGCCCTCAAGGCCCAAGTTCTGGCCGATTTCGTCGCCGAGATGACCCCCGCAACAGAGTCAACCCCGGGAACTCACAAGTGGACCATCTTCGTTGATGGCGCTTCAAGCCCTTCGGGAAGCGGCGCGGGCATCATCCTTGAAAACGAGGAGGGCAATGTCGTGAAAGTCTCCCTGACGCTGGTCTTCTCAACAACGAACAATTAGGAAGAATACGAAGCCTTCTTGGTCGGACTCCGCCTGGCAGAAGACCTCGGAGCCAACGAGATGAAAATCTTCACAGACTCCCAGTTAGTCGCGTCCCAAGTCTAAGGCGAGTATCAGGCGAAGAACGACAACCTGACCGAGTACTTAGCCCTCATAAGGGAACGCATGAAGAATTTCGAGTCTGCTGAAGTACAACATGTTCCCCGCGAACAAAACAAGTGGGCAGACGTCCTCTCAAAATTGACGAGCACTAAGAAGAAAGGCGGAAACAAATCTGTCATTCAGGAGGTCCTCGCACATCCCAGCACAGAAAGAGCAAAAGCACCGCTCGACGTCAACGTCATCGGGGAAAGCAACTGCTGGATGACCCCCACCTTACCACGGGGCTCCTCCTCGACGATGCCAAGGAGGTCGGCGCGGTCAAACGTCAAGCCTGCTCGTACGTACTGCTCGAGAATAGGCTATACTGAAAAGGCTTCTCGATCCCTCTCCTCAAATGCGTCGACAAGAACCAAGCCTCGACCATCCTACAAGAGGTCTACGAGGGCATCAACGCACAACACCTCGGAGGGCGATTCTTGGCAAGGAAGGCCTTGCGAGCAGGGTACTACTGGCCAACAATGCAGAAAGACGTGAAAGAACACGTAAGGAAGTGCGACAGGTGCCAGCGGCATGGGGACATGCACCTCTCCCCTCCGAGCAAACTCTAGTCCCTTTCTTCCCCTTGGATTAAAGACTGTAAAAATATTATAAATGGATTACATATGGAGTATATAGATATAGAATAGTCACAAACAGTTGAAGAAAAATTCAACTCACTTTATCATTTAGGACACTAATGTTACAATCCCTTTACAAATAAAGATGGAGTATATGCACTGTGAAGTAAAATTCAACTCACTCTATCATTTAGGACACTAATGTTACAATCCCTTTACAAATAAACTAGTATACATTCCTCGAGCCTACGAATTATCATTTTGATGCCAGTACATAAAGTCAAATGTTTAATAAACCATTTGGTAAATTACAATACTAATGAACAGAATCTCAATTTCCTTTTATGGAGCGGTCTCTTATAAAAGAAAAAGAACGAATTCAAACAGAAATATGATTGATCGTCTTATTGTCTTTTTCATAGGAAATAAGAAAGCATTCAAAACGGGCCATACTGGTTAGTGGATCAACAATCTCTAGTGCTAGGTCAAAACGCATGCTAGTGTGATTAGAATGTGTTACCATCTTCTAAGCTTCGCCTTTTCTTTTTTTACCCTCTCCGTGTCTTGACCGTCTAGGTGCCTCGTCTTCACTTTCACTATCGTCATTCTTGTCGTCCTGCTGTGACTTGTATCCTGGCTGATACTGCATGTCATCATCAGGACCCCCACTTTGACTGAGCATGTCTTGACTCTTACCTTGATCCGGTCCTGAACTGTACCTATCATTTCGATCACTTGTTCTTTGATCTCTCTTGGCAATGCGGTTCATATTTTGTGGTGGAGGAGGTGGTGGAAACATCGGAGGCATATTGACTGGCCTACCACCTCTTGGTGGGTTTGGACCTGGAACCCCCATTCCCCCCATAAAGGGACCGCGTCCATGATTCATCATCATCCCAAACCCACCACCAGGAAACATCCCAGGTTGTGAGGGTCGCCCTCGGAACATCATGGCAGCTGGGGGGCCTCCAAAATCACCTGAGAATCTAGGACCGTATGGACCAAAACCTCGGGGACCCATGCCAAAGAGATCCGGCATACCAAAACCATCAGGTCCAGGAGGCCCGTAGGGTAATCCATCACCCATCATTACAGGGTTAAAACCTTGCATTCCAGGCATGGGTCTAGCTCCGCGTCCGAGATGCATGTGAGGGGGCCACATCATACCTCTGCCCCTACCTCTGCCTTGAACAACTGGCCCTACACCATTACCAAAGCTCTCCTCCTCTTCATCACTTTCTTCCTCTTCCTCTTCTTCATTGTCTTCAAATGGGACAATATCCGGATTTTCTCCTTCATTATCTGGATTCACCCCCTTTGCCTTCTCCTCTTCTCGTTTAGACTCAGCTGCAATTGAGATAGCCTGTAAACATGGCAAAGAATACAAGATTAAATCAATTCTTAAAGCATTACTGGGCAATGGTTTTATGCGTCCCAAACCCATTCATTAAAATAGGCAACTCTTTACAGATAACTGATACACTTGGCATAAAACCAAGTATTAACTGTTGATTAGAGCTTCTTTTAAAACAGATAATCCAATGAAACAGTAAACAAAAAATACTCAAAGAAAAACATTTGACAAGTCTTGTCGTTTACTCTAAAGGAGATTGAATCATCTAGATTGGAATTGTAAAATTTGTAAAAGATATCTAGGATGTGGTAAGGCCTGGTGCACAAACTCAACTGTAAAAGTTTTGGCGGGGACCTGTACTTATTAAAATTTTAAATAAGAACCTCTAGGTTAACAAAGTTTTCATGTAGATTACTAGTAGTTATTAAATTTTATTATTTAGTCCCTAAAATAGCCCTCCACCAGTAAGGAACTATATAAACAAAATTAGGTGTATATGGCCTAGTTAAAACTATTAAATTATAAAACATATTTGAAATTAAGTCAAATTATTGGTATAACGAGTCTGGAATACTTAACTTTAGTCTAACCAGTAAATTTATTGTAGATTCTACCCCCCTTCAGCTTTTCCTTTCTTCTAAACTTTATCTAATAGCATTCCCTAAAATTTTAGAATTGATGATTATCGAAGAAAAGACCTTTAATGATTGATCACAAACTTTTAGAATTGAAGCTCTCGATATTGGTACTTCACATTAACGCGTGTCAGATTTAACCATCATCTTAGAGATTAGCTAGCCACTAAGGAGATTCAAGAGCCAGGACCATGCATGCCCTTGACTAAGTGCACAAAATTACGCTCGAAGTTCTTCTTTCAATAACATCGTACAAGGTTCAGAAAAATGCCCTTGACCTCTCATACAACACCCTAATTAGGGCTCCATATATTTCAGAGTTTCAAGGTCACTAAACAAAGATATTGAGTTATATTTTTCGCCATTATTTTCAGTCTTTCTCTCCCTTCACTACACATGGCTCACGATTTCAGCAATATGCTATTTGTAGCATATTTAAACCAGTCATATAGTCTAACAAAAAGAAATAAGTGATAATACTGTCGTGTGCATTTATTAAAAAGACTTGGACAAGATAAAAACTGTTGATATTTGATACCAACCTCATAATCCTGTTTTAAAAGTTTCTTAGAAAGAAAGTTCCATTCAGGAAAAGGAAAGACATAATACAAATTAAAAGTAACGTAACTTAATCATTTTATTTTTCTCCATTTCTACATAACAAATCTATAGTAATTCCTATGCGCCCAAAAAATAGAGAATGATGTTTTGACATTAAGTATGACAACAAAAATCGACAATGATTTAACTGTCATTCAAATATGTTGTTAACTACGTTTAGTAGAGAGGCTTAAAGAATATAACAAGTTGAAATAACTCATTAAGTATTAACCATCGACTGAAAGTAATTAACCACGACTTTGAATGATATTAACCATAATTTTTAGTTGTTCAAATATATATGACATTTGTTAAAACCATCAAATTCGTATTCAAATAAACATGATTTTGAGGTTTTCCTTTATACATCATATTTATTAACCACAATTTGTATTCAGATTTACACTCGAAAATCATGGTTAATCTTAGAATTTAGGTTGGGCCACACTATCCCTACAAAACCGGCTGATTGCCTCCAACTTTTAAACACAGCACAAGCCATATCTTTAAGCAGCGTGAGACTAAATTCACCCTTTAAACCCCAACACAATGAAGGTGTTGGAGGCTGCAATGAAAGCAAATCAAATGCCGCAATTTAGGCGACAAGGGGCGGACCACAATGAAGGTGAAATTTGTTGGTAATGCCTTGTTATATTCATTAATCATCTACTAAACCTAATTAACCCTGTATTTGAATTGTATTAACTGTCTAAATTGTAGTTGAAATTTGTTGTCCTTTTTTTTCAAAATAACAATGATGAGCACTCAGGAAAACATACCATAAGTTCGCTATCTGGTTCAACATAAAGCAAGGATGCCAACTGCTCACCGATAGAGGGTTCCAGCTCCTGACAATCTCTACTTATCTGCAATTACATAACCAACAGAATATTTAGTAATTCATAATTGTCATTGTTAGGATATAGGATAAGGAGTTTATTAGAATTTGAATGGTTAGTATATAATAATGATGTGTTTGTTAAGATATGAGATATGAGCAGTTAGCAACAATATAGGATAATGAGGAGTTAATTAAGAAATTAGTTAGAGAATCTTGTATAAATAGGAGAATGCATAGTGTTGGACTTTCCGCCTTAATTGCGGTTCGCCCCTAGACACCTTAATTGCGGCTTTGTCTTGCCTCATTGCAGCCCCTAACACCTCCATTGTGTTGGCTTTGAAGGGGGTTTAGTCCCGTATTGTTTAGAGATATAGCTTGTGTTGTGTGTATAAGTGGAGGCAATCCTCACCTTATAAGCTGGTTTTGTAGGGTTGAGTTAGACCCAACTCAAATTCTGAGATGGTATCAGAGCCTATCCTAGATCTATTGTTATCGCCCACGCTTTGGGCTCATTGAGGCCCAAGCTGTGAGGGGGTGTGTTGAACTTTCCGCCTTAATTGCGATCCACCCCTAGTCGCCTTAATTGCGGCACTTTGCATTTGCCTCGTTGCAACCCCTTACACCTTCATTGTGTTGGTTTTGAAGGCTGGATTTAGTTCCACATTGTGTAGAAATATGGCTTGTGTTGTGTGTATAAGTGGGAGCAATTCTCACCTTAGCTGGTTTTGTAGGGTTGAGTAGGCCCAACCCAAATTCTGAGACATACAAAAAGGAGTATCATTAAATATTGTATCTTTTGTGAATAGAATAGTGACTCTACTGTTGTAGGGGGTTTTCCCTCCTATTCTTTAATATTTTCTTCATACATTAGTTTATTTCTTTCTATTCACTTCTTGGGTTTCTGAGAATTGATCCTGACATGTCAAATCGTCGAGGATCTGAGTATTGCTTCGCGGGTTTGGCTGGGACTGGATGGAGAAATTCACTGGTGGTGGCTTTCTTGGAGGAAAATTAATCAGAATTTGGAGTTTTACACCTTTGAGAAGGCTTTGCACATAAAATTCAAACCAGGGATTCATTTTCAAGATTGAGGGGAAGAAAAACTAGAGGCAAAAGCAGAATTCAGCAAAGAAAATCAATCAAAAGAGGAGGAGCAGCCCCCAATCAGTCAAATACTGGTGGATAGCAGGATAGCTGCTATTGTAAAGGCTATGAATTAGTGTACAAAATAAATATAAGGCTATGATAGCAGGATACCGTTAATCTCGAGATCTTTTTTAATAGTTTCTCTTATAGTTTTTCTAGGTCTTCCTCTACATCTAGTTGTCTAACTCCTCTTCATCTAATCTACTCTTCTTACAACAGAATCTACAACGTTCTCTCTACGCAGCCTGAGCATCTAAGTCTATTATTACCATCCTTTCTACTGTAGGTGTTACCCCAACACTCTCAATTATTGTCATTTCTAATCTTATTACGTTTAACCACACACCCAACACTCTCAATTATTGTCATTTCTAATCTTATTGCGTTTAGTCTTACCACACACCCAACGCAGCATTCTCACCGCTGCTACACTTATTTTATTCTCGCATCGATTCTTGACCTCTCGACATTTTGTCTCATACAACATCGCAGGTCTTATAATTGCCCGATAAAATTTTTCAATTTCTCCTCGAGTCTTTACGTCTACATATTTTGTACACAATCTCTCCCCTAATCTTGATAAACTATCAACTCGATCACTAAAGTAAGGGTTATCGATGCTACTCACATACTCAACAATGATACCTCGTATCTGCCGATGTTACCTTCTTTAAGTCTGTTCCATATTTCGAGTCCAGCCATGTAACTACGGAACCTCTACAGGAAAGTATTCTCACACCTCTTCCAAAAATCTCATCTGTCATTATCCCCTATCATTCTAGGGTACCTAACCCACTAGATACCCCTACGGTTGAGCCCCCCCCCCCCCCCCTCTCCCAAACTTCTCGCCCACTTCAAACATATCAGTGTCGTCACCCAACATCTGTCTTACCTGCCTCTGAAGTCATACTTGTCCCTGAGGTCAACACGAACTCTCCTTCGACGCTCTCGCCATCACCGGATCCGATCTTGCACCCTGAGTCTGGTCTTCCAATTGTCCTTCGAAAAGGTATACGTCAAACACAAAATCCTTCTCCACATTATATTGATTTATGTTATCATTGTCTTTCCCCTTTGCAGTATACTTGTTTGTCTTCTTTATCTTCTGTTCCTATTCTTAAAACTCCAGGTGAAGCATTATCTCACCTTGAGTGGAGGCAAGCAACGATTGATGAAATGTGTGCTCTTCAAAGCAGTGATACCTGGGAACTGGTTCCTCTACCACATGGGAAATCTTTAGTAGGTTGCCGTTGGCTTTAAACAGTAAAAGTTTGTCCAGATGATAAGATTGATCGATTTAAAGCTCGCTTGGTAGCCAAAGAATACACTCAAATTTTTGGGTTGGATTTTAGTGATACCTTTTCGTTTGTAGCCAAGATGGCATCTGTTAGACTTTTTCTAGCCATTGCATCCATTCGACATTTGCCTCTTCATCAACTTGACATCAAAAATGCATTCTTACATGGTGATCTTGAAGAGGACGTATATATGGAGCAACCACTTGGGTTTGTTGCTCAGGGGGAGTCATTAAATATGGTTTGTAAGCTACACAGGTCTCTTTATGGTCTTAAGCAATCTCTGATACCTTGGTTTGGCAGATTCAACACTGTAGTACAACATATTGGTATAGTCTGTAGTGAAGCTGACCATTCTGACTTTTATTGTCACTCACCCCAATGGTGTAATTATCTTATTGTGTATGTAGATGACATTGTCATAACTGATAGTGATCAGCAGGGAATACTCCAGTTGAAACATCTCTCGAAACAATTTCAGACAAAAGATCTTGGTAAACTCCGCTATTTCTTAGGTATTAAAGTAGCCCAATCTAAAGATGGTTTGGTGATTTCTCAGCGGAAATATGCTATGGATATTTTGGAAGAAACAGGTTTGTTAAATGTTAAACAAGTCAATACTCTTGTGGATCCAAGTGTCAAACTACTACCCAATCAGGGGGAGCTTCTATCTGACTCGGGAAGGTGTAGGAAATTGGTTGGAAAATTGAATTATCTCAGTCACTCGTCCGGACATTTCTTTTGCAGTCAGTGTGGTAAGTCAGTTCTTAAATTCCCCTTGTCATGAACACATGGACGTTGTTATCCGGATTCTGAGATACATCAAATGTGCTCCAGGAAAAGCTCTTGTGTATGAGGATAAAGAACATACCCAGATAGTTGGATACTCCGATGCTGATTGGGCAGGATCACCCATTGACAGACGATCCACCTTTGGGTATTGTGTACTTGTTGAAGGAAACCTTATATCCTGTAAAAGTAAGAAACAAAATGTAGTTGCAAGATCAAGCGTCGAGGCAGAGTATAGGGTCATGGCAATGGCAACAAGTGAACTTATTTGGTTAAAACAGTTGCTCAAGGAACTTCAAATTGAAGAAGCAAGACCAATGAAACTTATTTGTGATAATCAAGCTGCATTGCACATTACTTCAAATCCGTCTTCCATGAGAGAACCAAACATATTGAGATAGACTGTCACTTTGTCAGAGAGAAGATCGAGTCAGGCGACATCGTCACAAGCTTTGCCAACTCTAATGCAGATGTGTATACAAAATTCCTACGAATCCCCAAAACTAACTATATATGTAACAAGCTTGGTGCGTTTGACTTATATGCTCAAGCTTGAGGAGGAGTGTTGATATTTGTAAATATATATAGTGTTAAGAATATTTGTATATAGAATAGTCCCACATCGACTATATCATATAATTAATTGTAATTTATCTATATATAATAATGTCTCTGTAGTGCTTTTCAAAACACACGGTTTAATCTAAATGTCTCTTAGTCTTGCTTATTTCAACAGTTTTAATTAGACTCATCATAAACCAAGCAATAGACCAAATATGTCACTAATGTCTAACAACTGTTTCCTATGATAAATGGTTACAAAGTATAAAAATTCAATTATACATCTTTAAAGAATATGAAAAAATATCATTTTCCACATATACACCTGCCTCCAAAACATAATGTAAAAATATTTCAAATATAAAGTATTATTTATGGTTTTAGTAGTATCTTACAATTCTTGTTGTGATCTTATGTTCTATGATCTTGCCACCCGCTCTCGATCATACTAAAATAATTGAGTAGAATCTTTTGATCTTAGTTATGATTTTATGTTTTAAAATCTTGCTATCCCTTTTCAATTTTAAGCAAAATCCCGATTTTGACAACCTTGCATAACACGCTATGTTTCGACACTAAACCTTGCAACTATGTTACGCTCATTGCTTCGCCCCGGGATCAAATTTCCACCAAGAAGATAATACCCAGAAGCGGACTTTCTATTTGCTAGTGAACCTACCCAATCATCATCAGAATAGCCAATAACTTGATTGTTACTAGGGTTGGCAATGAACCGAACCAACTCGAAAATAGTTTGGAATTCGATTCGACAATTAAATCGTTGAATTAGGTTCATGAACCAAATGAGTTGAGTATGAGCGAAAAATTAAGTTCGTTAACTAAATGAGCTGAACTTGAACTATACATAGTTCGACTCGTTAGGTTCATGAGTCAACTCAATTACATATGAGAAGAATTATACTGTCTTTAAGATTAGGTTTAAATATTTACTCCAAATCTTAGACAAATTTAATCTTCAATTTAGTAGTTTTTGAATTAAACTTTCAAATGTATCTCTTGAAAGTTGTGTAGGTTTTGAATTAGTAGATTTCGAAGATAAAGTTAAATTTTAATATGATAACTTTTATTTTATTTTAATATTTTATTTTAATATTTTATTTTTAAAAAATATATTTATTTAAAATGTCAAATATACTAAAAAATATATATATTTAAAAAAATAGTTTTTAAGTCCATGAATCATGTGAGCTGAACCTAATGAGATGAATCTAACGAGTTGAACCGAACTGTTCGTGAACTAATAACGAGTCGAGTTTGAGCTTAAAAAAAAATTCGTGTCGAACTTGAACCAATTCTTAACGAGTCGAGCCGAGCTGAGGTGAGTTCGACTCGACTCTTTTCCAGCCCTAACGGTTACCCTTGTTTTGATACAGTAATCTTTTACCTAGTTAGTGCGCTCTTTATATACTTTTGAATGCAAATCAGTGTTCCACGGAGCATTTAGAAAGTATGGCTTATAAGTTTGTTAAAAATGGACCTTTTTCAAGGTATAGCTTTCATGAAAATGGCAAACTAAAAGAACTACCTGTGATATTTTTCTTTTAGTTAACCACTTTTCATAAAAAAAAATTTAAAAATTAGCCAAACAATTAAGATCTATCCAACATGGGTAAGGTGTGGTAAACCAGTCCCGCTCTAACCACTTTTTTAAGGTTATTAGCAAATAATATTAACCCTCTCAGAGGATGGTGAAGGTATCTGAGAAAGAAACTTACCGAGAAGAGAGAAACGAGAAATAGCTTTATAGAGTTGAATTAGACTCAACTATATTTCTTAACATGGTATCTATTGTGCAATCTGCTATCAAATTTTCGCTATAGAATCACCCACCATTTATTTTCACGTTCCAAATGTCTGCTTCAGATGTTTAATTTGAGCGTGGAAATGTCAACTATATTTCTTAAAATGGTATCTATTGTGCAATCTCCTATCAAATTTTCGCTATAGAATCACCCACCATTTATTTTCACGTTCCAAATGTCTGCTTCAGATGTCTAATTTGAGCATGGAAATGTGCTTATAAGTGGAAATAAGACTTATAAGCTTGAGGGCGATTTCGCCGGGTTCACGGGTGGCGTGGAGCATGTAGCTAACCGCGTGGAGCGGTTGACTGGTTTTTTCATTTTTCTTCCTTCGAGTTTTGTTCTCAGCACTTGTTTTTTTTCGTTTTTCATCTTCCTCCGGCCACCACAACCCTCCAGCGCTCCTCTCCGTTAAATACAAATGAGAAAGAAGATGAAGTCGTGGGGAAGAAGTTGTGTGTAGGGAAGAAGATGAGATGACAAAGAAGATGAAGTCGTGCCGTGGGTAGGGAAGAAGAAGATGCGCCGCCACTTCTTTTTGGGTTTTTAAAAAGAAACCCTAATTTTAAAGTTTGATAGGATCTGGATTTGGCTGCATTAAAATTTTTATTTTAAATATTTTTAAATCAGAATTTGTAGAGATATGTTTGTACATCACTTTCTCTTTTCAAGATAAAACTGTTCCAATTCCCCAAATATTATCTTTTATAATTGTTAAGAAGTGTGGTTGGGCCTAACTCAACCCTACAAAACCGGTTGGTAGAGTGAGGATTACCCCCACTTATAAACACATGTTCATGCCATATATTGTCCGATGTGGGACTCTTAACACACCCCCTCACGCTCAGGATTGGACAACTGAAGCGTGGAAATAAATGGTGGGTGGCCCGATAGCGGAAACCATAGAAGGTGGCCCACCGGATCTTAAACGAGGCTCTTGATACCATGTTGAAATACAAGAGACTAAGAGACATTTGAATAAACCGTGTGTTTTGAAAACCAGGCTCTGATACCATGTTAAGAAGTGTGGTTGGGCCTAACTCAACCCTACAAAACCGGTTGGTAGAGTGAGGATTACCCCCACTTATAAACACATGTTCATGCCATATATTGTCCGATGTGGGACTCTTAACAATAATAATCAACTAAAACTCTCTCATTATCTATCATTATTATTATTATTATTATTTTATCTAATCTATCATTATTATTATTTTATTTTATAACCAATTCTTTTTCTCTATAGTAGTATTAGCATGATCTAATTTCTTATAATAATAATAATAATAATAATTATTATTATTATTATTATTATTATTATTATTATTATTATTTTATGCATATATATATAATTTTTTAATTCATATAATTAATCTAAAAAATCATCCCACTATCTCATTTTTATGGTCGACCGCTCCGCTATCCGCGATTAATAACTCTGAGCACATGTCCATGTTCGATATGTCCATTCCTGGACGAGTGGGTAAGAGGTGTTAAAGAGTCTCGCATTAGATGAAAATGACATCTTACAAATCAGTTTTATAAAATGAGTTAAGCCAACTCAAATTCTAAGAGCACCATATACCAATTGATTTCACTTAGCCTTTGTTTGGAAGTTTGAAGGGGAAAGGAAGGAAAGACTTTGAAAAAATGGAAGAATAGAGTGAAAAGAATAGAAGAATTTAGGTGGGAAGGGTTTTGGAGGATTTTGTTTTATTCACAAACCAAAATCCACTTGATTTGGGAGAAAAAGAAAAATTGTATTGAAGAGAGTTTTGGAGGATTTTAGAGAGCTTAGACAAATTGCTCAAATATAATTTACATTGTTATAGTATTCCAAAAATTAAAAATATGTTATTGATAACCTTCTTTATCATTCAATACAACCCTTTTTTCAAAAAATGTATTTTTCTATATATTTCTAAAAAATCCTTTCTCGAAGCCCACACTTCCTCTCCCCTCCAAACTCCAAACAAACTCTTACTAACAGTTGTGGCCAGACCCATATCAACTCTCACTGGTTAAAAGTCAACCAGTTAGTACTGAACACTACCAATGGTCACAACTCAACTCACAAATGACAAAAGACCACCCCTGTTTTTATGTTAAATTTTAGTAAGACGTAGGATTCCTTACTTTAGTGGTGATGAAAAAAAACTCCCCAAAATAACCAAGCAGTAACAGATAGAGCATTACCAAGTTAGGTCAAATTCAAACCACAGCTATACGGACAGGAGGACCCAACCCAACATCATCTTTATAAGGATCACATCAACAAATAGATAGATTCTATCCTTGCTATATTCAGCGAGGAAAGGAGACCAAAACACATATAAGAACCACTAAAAGAAAAAAACGATGAAGAGAGAGTAAAGCAAGAACGTGAGTATACAGCTCTTATTAAGGCTTCAAAGTGGATCATAAGAGATAAAAAAGATAATACCTTCACTGGTAAGTTCTCATTGTATGGATTTCTCAAATGGCGAGTTTTGTGGAATGACAGTTCGCATAACTGCAAATAAGAAAAGTAATTAGATAGACTATTATTATGTACACACACAAAATATCATTATGCAGTTTCCAATACGGGTTCATCGAGAAATTTCTGAGTTACAACACTAAGACACAAATGCGGTAATATAATAACTTTTAAGAAACCATTTAAAAATATGTTATTGCTTAGACAGCTGTTTGGGTTGGATGAGATATTAGAAAAATGTTTTTTTTTTCTTTTGCAATCCAGTAAGAAAAAATATGCTATTGTCACCCTATGAATAAGGGTTAGTTGTTTAGTCTTCTGTATCAAGTTGTTAAAAATCATACAACACCACTTTCATATTCAGAGTCCTTATTAATTCTTTGTCCACATTTTATCTAAAATCCTTAACTTCAACATCATAGAATTTGATTAAAGTTCTTGAATTCATGTCCAATATATTTGGACCAAAATTCTAGATCATGTCCCGTTCAAGCTTAATGACACATGATAGAAACAGTGATAATAATTTACAATTATCAGGACAATTAATTCACCACTCCTCTAGTGATCCCAGAGTTTGGAAAGTTTATTCTAAAAAGGGTAAAAAGGAAATTAGAGACTGAGTTAGTTAGCAATCATGAGCTGGCATGAAAGAGAGGAGCAATACACTTCCACAATATAAGGAGCAGTCAGTAGAGCTTCTTTTCCTCATTTTCTTCATAACTGTTTTACTGCTACATTGGTTACTGTTAGTTCGTATCAAACTGGTCCGACCTACCGGATCTCATTCCCGGAACCAGTGAATACCCCCAAAGAAGGTTAGCTACTCGGAGTTTGTTAAGATGGATGCGATGGTAGCGGCGTTAGAAAGCGAGATATCGAAGGTAAAATCGACGTTGTTAGACGTTCAGAATGCGGTGAAGACTAGCCATGAGAGCCTCATGGCCATGTTTGAACAGTGTCCAGGCAAGACGATGTTGGAAGGAGAAGGTAGTGCGAATGACAAAGTGCGACAATCATCGGGGAAGGAGGATTCCTCCGGATCCAGGCTTCGCAACCTCAACGGTGATGCATTGACTGAGTTTCGTCAATCCATCAAAAAGGTGGAGCTACCGTCCTTCAACGGCGAAGATCCAGCAGGGTGGATTTCGCGCGCTGAAGTGTATTTCCGTGTTCAGGGGACGCTACCGGAGTTGAAGGTGAATCTAGCTCAGTTGTGTATGGAAGGAGCTACGATTCATTTCTTCAATTCTCTGGCAGGAGCAGGAGAAGATGAAGGTTTGTCGTGGGAGAAGCTGAAGGACTCACTGTTGGTCAGATATGGTGGGCACGGCGACAGTGACGTATATGAGCAGTTAACAGGGCTGAAACAGAGTGGGACGGTAGAAGAATACATCACCGAATTTGAGTATATCTTATGGCTCAGATTCCGAAATTACCTGACAAGCAATTTTTGGGATATTTTCTTCACGGATTGAAGGCGGAGATTAGAGGTCGAGTTCGCAGCTTCGTAGCTATGGGGGAAATTAATCGCGCAAGACTGTTACAGGTGACGCGTGCGGTGGAGAAGGAAATATGTGGAGAAAATGGAACGTCTAGTAGTAGGGGGTTCAGATCTGGAAACGGGTCACACCGACCCGAAACTCATGGAGTGGGTCGAGGGAATTCAGATTGGGTTTTAGTGAAGAATAGAAAAGGTGGAGTGAGTGGGGGTTCTAAAAGCAACCCTGTTGGGCTTAGAGAAGAAAGAACAACCCATGGAGATAAGAGAAGAAATGGGCCTCGTGATCGTGGATTTCAACATTTATCCTACCAGAAATTGATGGATAGAAAACAGAAGGGTCTTTGCTTCAAATGTAAGGGGCTTTTCTCCCCTACTCATCAATGCCCCGATAAACACCTTTGAATCCTTCTTGTTGATGACAGTGATACAGAGGAGCAAGATGGTCAAGTACTGGCGATCGAAGTGAATGAGGCGGATGACGATGAGATGGGAGAGATGAGTTTGATGCATTTGGATCAGATGACTAATCACACCCCCCCCCCCCCCAAGTTATGCGGTTCCAAGGGGAAATCAAAGGAGTTTCGGTGTTGGTCGACAGCGGAGCTACGCATAACTTCATTTCTCAGAAGTTGGTATGCAAGATGGATTGGCCAATGGAGAAAACTTCACAAATGCGAATCAAGTTGGGTGATGGGTTTCAAACCATGACTCAAGGAGTTTGTAGGGAGGTGGAATCGAAGATTGGGGAATTCGGAATTCAAGCGGATATGCATCTGTTTGAATTAGGCCAAATTGATTTTGTGTTGGGAATAGAGTGGCTGAATACCCTTGGAGATATAATTATGAATTGGAAGAAACAACTCATGAGTTTTTGGAGTAATAAGGAGTGGGTTACATTACAAGGTTTAGGGGGCACCAATGAGTCCATGGTGGCTCTGCAGAGTATATTAGAGAAGCCTAAGCAGTGGAAGGGAAGGACGTTAGGGAGTATAGAGAAGCAGGGTAGTGGAGCACAAGAGGCTCATTTGTCTCAATTACAGATGGAGAGGCTTGGTGAGTTATTACACAATTTCGCTTTGGTGTTCGTAAAGCCTAAAGGGCTACCTCCAATCAGAGGCAAGGAGCATGCCATTAATTTAGTAGAAGGAGCAAGTGCGGTGAATGTAAGGCCCTATAGATATCCTCATCATCACAAAGATGAGATAGAAAAGCAAATCAAAGAGATGTTGGCTACCAGAATAATCAGGAACAGCACAAGCTCTTTCTCTAGTCCAGTAATATTGGTGAAGAAGAAGGACAGCTCGTGGCGCATGTGCATAGATTACAGGGCCCTAAACAAGGTAACCATCCCTGATAAATTCCCAATACCTATTATAGAAGAGTTGTTAGATGAGTTGCATGGTGCTAGATTTTTCTCTAAATTGGATTTAAAATCCGGTTATCATCAAGTAAGGGTCAAGGAAGAGGATGTATACAAGACAGCCTTTCGTACTCATGAGGGACACTATGAATTTCTAGTCATGCCATTTGGCCTTATGAACGCACCCTCCACATTCCAAAGCCTCATGAATGAAGTGTTTAAACCCATGCTTAGGAAATGTGTTGGTTTTCTTCGACGATATACTAGTATACAGTGATGATTGGGAGACCCATTTGCAACATTTGCAAATTGTGTTGCAAGTGTTAGATAACAATGGGTTAGTAGCCAACAAGAAGAAGTGTCTCTTTGCTCAGAAATCCATTAACTACTTGGGTCATGTCATATCCCAAGAGGGAGTAGCTGTAGACCCTAATAAGGTAGTCAGTGTGACCCAATGGCCTACCCCTAAGAATGTGAAGGGAGTTAGAGGATTCTTAGGGCTGACTGGATATTACAGGAAGTTTATCAAACACTATGGCAGGATAGCTAAACCGTTAACAGAGTTGACAAAGAAAGATGGGTTTAAGTGGGGAGATGAAACTCAAAGAGCTTTTGAAGAGTTGAAGGTGAAGCTCACTACAGCACCTGTCTTGGCTCTACCTGATTTTAGTAAGCCATTTGTAATTGAGTGTGATGCCTCTGACAGTGGTATAGGGGCAATTCTAATGCAAGAAAAACGGCCGATAGTTTACTTTAGTAAGGTGTTGGGAGTAAGAAATCTGTTCAAATCTGCATATGAGAAAGAACTTATGGCATTGGGGTTGGCTATACAACATTGGAGACCCTACCTCCTTGGCAGGAAATTCATTGTCTCTACCGACCAAAAGATCCTGAAGCAATTGTTGCAACAGAGAGTCTCTACTGCAGAGCAGCAAAACTGGGCTGCAAAACTACTTGGTTATGATTTTGAGGTTGTCTATAAGCAAGGCAAATTAAATAGAGGAGCTGCTCTGCAAAACTGGGCTGCAAAACTACTTGGTTATGATTTTGAGGTTGTCTATAAGCAAGCCAAATTAAATAGAGGAGTTGATGCCTTGTCTAGAATGCACGAGGGAATGGAGTTGAGGAGTATCACATCTTTTCTGCAGTGGGATCAGACACAATTAATGAAGGAAGAGGTGCAGAATGATGAGGAATTACAGAAAATAATAGCTGAATTGTCACAAGATTCGGTGTCCAAACCTGGATATGTCTATAAACATGGAGACTTAATGTATGATGGAAGACTAGTCCTTTCAAGACATTCAGCCATGATTCCTACGCTATTGAAAGAGTTCCATAGCACTCCACAAGGAGGGCACTCGAGGTTCTACAAGACATATAGAAGGCTGGCGGCAAATGTATATTGGGTAGGAATGAAGGGAGTAGCGCAGGAATTTGTAAGAAGTTGTGATGTTTGCCAAAGGCAAAAATACTTGGCTTCTTCTCCGGTGCTTGTTGCAACCTCTGCCCATACCGGAACGCATTTGGGAAGACATTTCTATGGATTTCATCACCGGCTTGCCAAAATCCAAGGGGTATGAAGCTATTTTCGTAGTAGTGGACAGGTTGTCTAAATATTGTCATTTTATTCCTCTTAAGCATCCTTATACGGCTAGAAGTTTGGCTGAGATTTTTAGCAAGGAAGTAGTCAGGTTGCATGGGATACCTACGTCTATAGTGAGTGATAGAGACCCTATCTTCATGAGCAATTTTTGGAGAGAATTGTTTAAGGCCCAGGGAACTCAACTCAAAATGAGCTCAGCGTACCACTCGGAGTCCGATGGTCAGACAGAGGTAGTTAACCGGTGTTTGGAGACGTACCTTAGATGCTTCATCTCTGACCAGCCCAAGACTTGGATGTCATGGTTACATTGGGCTGAGTACTGGTTCAATACTTCATTTCACACTACTACAGAGCACACCCCTTTTGAACTAGTCTATGGTAGACCTCCGTCTGTGATTGGTAGATGGGCTCAAGGAGAGACAAGGGTTGAGGCAGTGCAGAGAGACTTAGTAGAAAGGGATGAGGCTATCAGACAGTTGAGAAGTCAATTGCACAGAGCACAAGATAGAATGAAGGCTCAGGCGGATAAGAAGAGAAGTGATAGGAGTTTTGAAGTAGGAGAATGGGTCTTTGTTAAGCTGAGAGCACATAGACAAAATTATGTGGTTACCAAAATTAATGCTAGATACTATGGGCCTTACCCTATTACGGAAAGAATCGGAGTTGTCGCCTACAAACTGAAATTACCAATAAGTTCTAGAGTTCATCTAGTGTTCCATGTATCATTATTGAAAAAAGTTGTAGGACAGTACCATGAGAATGAAGAGCTGCCCGACCTTATGGCAGGAGAGCAGGAAGAGGTGTTTGAACCTGAAACTGTGTTGGCTGTAAGAAAGGTACAAAAGCAAGGTGAAGAGGTGACACAATTACTTATCCATTGGAAGGGGAAAACAGTAGAGGAAGCTACTTGGGAGGACTATGTCATGCTCAAAAGTCAATTTCCACAATTCAACCTTGAGGACAAGGTTCCAGTTAAAGAGAGGAGTATTGATAGAAACAGTGATAATAATTTACAATTATCAGGACAATTAATTCACCACTCCTCTAGTGGTCCCAGAGTTTGGAAAGTTTATTCTAGAAGGGGTAAAAAGGGAATTAGAGGCTGAGTTAGTTAGCAATCATGAGCTGGCGTGAAAGAGAGGAGCAGTACACTTCCACAATATAAGGAGCAGTCAGTAGAAGGAATAATCATCCTAGATTGTAGCTAGATCTGGAAGGAATGAATAGGATACTCTAGTATCCTATAGGAGCTTAGCTCTGGGCCCATTTTGGGATTAACAAAATTTCCTTTTTCTGTACCTGTTTTCCATTTTCATCAATAAAGCTTTTTTTCCTCATTTTTTTCATAACTGGTTTACTGCTACATTGATTACTGCTCTGTTAGTTCGTATCAACACACATATTTGGTTCTTGAACATTAGATTTCTACTTTTACCTTTGAGCAATTCCCATGTCTCATATAGATTGGAAATAATAAGGAGGCTAAAACTGTATGACATTGTAATTTTAATTGTAATTGTGCAAGTCGACACAATTCTCAGATGTCTTAAGTTGGAGAGAATTGTGTGCTCATGGTGACAAAATGACAATTTTGATTTAAGAGTTTAGAGCCATGGAGTTATGCTTTAAGTACTTGAATTCAAGTGCAACAAATACAGCAGGCACCACTCCACAACTATCTACTTTGCACCTCAAAAACTTCAAGGAAAGTCAGCAAGAGCCTCTCTAAATCATACAGGCAACTGCTCGCAATAAAAGCAAAGGTGCTCCTTTACATGTTACATTGTGAACCAAAATGAAAAGGACAATTACTTAAAAAGTTTCTGTAGCAAAGCAATTTGTCATTTTGGATTTCCTTTTGCTGCTACAGTCTTATTATATATGCTTCCGGTATGTTTGGCTTCAATATGGGGATTATTCATATCCCTCAGATAAATTAATTGGGGAAGTTGATGGAAGAGTTTTTGTACCTTCAACCATTTAACAGAGAAATTCCGCCCATAATGTGCCGTTCCATGAGCATATTTCCAGTTCCCCCCAGGAACAGAACCACCAATTCTAGAAGTCATCTTTGCGCAACCCTGCCAAAATATAGAAAGGTTTAGGTCCATAGGCTTTGCCACAGTAAAAGAAAGTCGCCCAATTGTTTTTTTTCACTGGAAAAATATCAGGTCCTCAAATCATAAAGTTAAAAGTGTTAAATGCCAGTGGGGAAGAGCATCATAGTGAAACATATGATGTTCCTAAATTATTCAAGTAATCTTTTAGTACATGTAATTATAATGCATATTTGAAAACTTGATGCCATCCCTCTTGTCTTGTTAAACTATTAGCAAAAGATCATTTAACGAGCAAGCAACAAAACATAATTAATTCGGTCAATGCATTTCTTCTCTTGTATAATAAAACATCAAATTTAAATATATAAACAAAATGAAAGAAGCAAACAAAATCAATTACTTCCGAATCTCCCACTAACCATTATGATTAACTTCAGCATCTAAAATATAAGCTTAACACATTAGTAAGTTCCAATTCTTATACGGAACTATTCTGAAAAGCTTCACTTTAAAACAGCAGCAATAATAACGAATGCTACGGGAACATTTGTGGTCAATTAAATGCAAAAGATCGCGTGATTAATATCAAATATTTGAGGTTTCTGACCATCAATAATAAGCAGTACCGAACTAGCTTTCGTTGATGTATATTACACTAAGAGGCTGTGCAGAGATCTAAAAATATGAGCTCCATAAAGGCAGCATGGTTTGTTCTAATATTAAATTTAAAATTGTCAGATAATTTTTAATTACTGACCTAGAAAATCAACTAAAGAGACAGAGGAAAGTTATTTCTTAACCAAGAATTGAACTAATTGTAATCTTCCAAGACACATATATATACTCTCTCAGTTAGTAGTCCATATTGCTACTTTTCTTCTGTCTCAAATTATTTGTTCTTTAAGAATATCAATGCAACATTTATCAACTTTTTCCCTTAACATACCCTTATTTATTGTATTTTAAATTTTAATTCATCTAACTACTCCACTAACTACTATTAATAAGGTTATTTTGGTAAGTGAAACTCATTTTATTATTAAAATCAATACAACTATTAGTTATCTTAAAAAATGTACAAAACTCAAAGGGAACTGGTAAGAGTCTCACATCAGACAATATATGGCATGAACATGTGTTTATAAGTGGGGGCAATCCTCACCCTACTAACCGGTTTTGTAGGGTTGAGTTAGGCCTAACCACATTTCTTAACTTGGTTTCAAGAGTCTCGTTTAAGATCCAGTGGGCCACCTTCTATTAGGTTTCCGTTATCGGGCCACCCACCATTTATTTCCACGCTTCAGATGTCCAGTCCTGGGCATGAGGGGGTGTGTTAAGAGTCCCACATCGGACAATATATGGCATGAACATGTGTTTATAAGTAGGGGCAATCCTCACTCTACCAACCGGTTTTGTATGGTTGAGTTAGGTCCAACCACATTTCTTAACAGGAACAAATAATTTGAGAAGGAGGAAATATCTATTAATTTATCATCTTAATACAACAACAACAAAGCCATGACGCTTTAAGTGGGTCGGCTACATGGATCAAACGACGCCATAATGTTCTATCAAAATCCCTTTTTCACTCACAAACTTAGTTTCTTGTAGGCACATTAAGTTGATCCTCCTCCTAACCAGAGTGTCCACTATTTCCATAGATGTTTTTGTCAAAACGCCTATGTTCCATGTTCCAAAAAGAATCCTACTCTTGTCGACTAACTTCTTTTACTCATACTCGATCATGAAAATGCGGGATTTCTTTTCTATTTTTCATTGCATTCAGACAACAATGCAGCGGCCATTACTCACTTAACATTGTACTCGAGCTATATAGCGTGTTGCTTCCGGACAACGACCTAACATTCACATTATTACATATTTGATCTATGTCCTAAAGATTCAACCAAATTTTATGTTGGTTGTCAATAGCCTAACACAACCATCTCCTTTGATTATCATCTCAATAATCAAATATAATCAAATAAATTTAAATGCATCCAACTTTTCAAAAAGGTGTTGAATACTTTCATTTCCACATTCCATTGGATAGCAAAGAGATCATTAGCTTAAATCCATATATTTAACAAATGTAGTCAAGTGGGAGGCAAAATTGCAAACATACCTGGAAATGTCGAGTACGGTTGACTGAGAAAACCAATATCACATTTTCTACAGAGTCAAATGCTTCATTTAGTTTTGATTCATTGCTCCTTTGAGTTGCCCATACTCCTTGTTGTACAGATAACTCCAAATTTTCACGATTGCAACTCTTAACAATAAAATACCTAAGGTTTTTAGAAAATTTTATAAGTTTAATCAATATGGGTAAGAAAATTGTGATTCAACCAAAGCAATATCCATAAGGATAATTGATTAAAATTTGAACACAAACCACTTATGACAATTTATCCATCTTTTAAAATTATAGACCTCATCGTCGTCTATTAATCTCATTCGGTGATGGTCACCTGATTAGAATAATGCACCAAGTAAAACTAATTGACAGTCTAACATAAGAGCAACACCAATTCTTTATTTGTGTGAGAAATAGAAGACAGCTTAATAATAAACAAGAAAACAGAGAAAATTAGAAAAGAATTATAATATAAAAGTTAAGAAGATACTCTGAACTTTTCTTTTAGAGTCCAAAAAGTTACTATTTGATTAAAAAATCCATCTCACTTGCTCCAAATCGAACTTTTAATCTTCATTTTGTATGTTATGGACTGCAAAAGCAGCCTGACATTTTTTAATAATAATTAATGAAGAACTTAATCCTTAGTTTATCCAAATATCATATTTCTAAGACAAATTAGAAACCAGACTCTGGATTTTGTCCAGTTTTTCTAATTAAGCTTAAATGTTCTTTAAGCATGTCTTTGTTTGCACGGAAAAAACTAAGTTCCTAGGACTTTATCATAACAAGCTAGGTCTTGGAGCTTGGAATAGGTCACACGATCGATGGTTTCGAGACTTTGATTACAAAAACAGCTTAAATGTTTTAAAGTTAAAAGTAGTGATACAGAATATGCAAAAATAATCAACTAGACATGTGTGTAATTTAACATCCAATAGCATACAACACGATATACATGTGTAGACTGCCAAGTGAATAGAAGCATTATTAGGAGAATCCAACTGCATAAGGCAACTGTTGGTATGATATCCCAAACAAAATAATACCTAAATGTATTCCTTGCTTGCTTGTAACAGAAAAGAATTATAATATAAAAGTTAAGAAGATACTCTGAACTTTTCTTTTGGAGTCCAAAAAGTTACTATTTGAATAAAAAATCCTTCTCACTTGCTCCAAATCGAACTTTTAATCTTAATTTTGTATGTTATGGACTGCAAAAGCAGCCTGACATTTTTTAATAATAATTAATGAAGAACTTAATCCTTAGTTTATCCAAATATCGTATTTCTAGGACAAATTAGAAACCAGACTCTGGATTTTGTCCAGTTTTTCTAATTAAGCTTAAATGTTCTTTAAGCATGGTTTGCACGGAAAAAACTAAGTCCCTAGGACTTTATCATAACAAGCTACGTCTTGGAGCTTGGAATAGGTCACACGATCGATGGGTTTTGAGACTTTGATTACAAAAACAGCTTAAATGTTTTAAAGTTAAAAGTAGTGATACAGAATATGCAAAAATAATCAACTAGACATGTGTGTAATTTAACATCCAATAGCATACAACATGATATACATGTGTAGACTGCCAAGTGAATAGAAGCATTATTAGGAGAATCCAACTGCATAAGGCAAATGTTGGTATGATATCCCAAACAAAATAATACCTAAATGTATTCCTTGCTTGTAATATTTAATATTTATGTAACTATAAGCATACTTTACCAAAGCCAACTGAAAACTACAAGAATCTAACACACCTAGATATTCCCTGAGGTAAAGGAGTTGATGTTCGATTGGCTTGATTGGGCTGGCCATTAGCAAGATTTTGCGCTTGGTTCTGGCTGACTTGCGGCTGAGGCTGTTGAACTTGTTGCTGCTGCTGGACATTTCCTGACTCTGCAGCTAATGGTTTTCCAGCCACACCTTGGTTTGCAGAATTGATTGCTTGAGGAAACTGAGACTTTTCAACTTGTTGAGTATAGCTAGAACCCCTTTGTTGGACAAATTTATGAGAATTGTTATAATTGTAAGAATACAAATGTTGGATCTTCTGAAGGACCTCTTCAATTGGAGGTGGAGGTCCGGGAGATTTCGCATGCCTGTATCGACAATCAGGTCCATTAGGACAAAATCCTAGCTTGTACCTGCAGAAGTAGAAATGTCAAAACCATAATAGTTTGATAATCTCAACTTATATATAGTGAAGAAATTAAAGACAAAAATATAACTGATCAAACATGTAACAAGAGGGTTTTTCTTTGTTAAAAAAGAAAAGAAAAGAATACTGTTTATCAAAGAGTGCAGTGTAAATAAAATAAATGACAGCAGTAGAAAGGAAAACCATGTAAGCAGACAAAACTGACAAGCATAAAAAATGACATGGTATATAATCCAAGCACGTTAAACCAATAAGTCCTTCCAATCTCTTAGAATATCAACAAAAAAGACAGTGTCCTATAAAACCTCCCATCTATGTTCAAAATTCAATACTAAATAAATTCAATACATGCTAAAACTTAAAAGTAAAACCTGGTTTGTAAAATCCAATTGCAACAGAAAACTTTTTCTTGAAAATTAGTAGATTGTAATTATACAGAGAATGGTGATAGCCATCTGGTGATCAAATTCTCAACAAGCTAGGGAGAATATAGACAAAATGAATGGGTATAAAAAGGTTAGTAGGCTAGCCAAATGAGCAGATTCAATAAACATATTATTGACAATTATTTGATAGCTACGCCAACCAAAAAACCCAAATAATGGCACTACGGCTATCATTTCACCATGCAGACCCTGTGAAGAGCATACGTTATTCTTTTTTTGGGGGGGGTGGGGAGTTTATAGAACTTTGTTCTTTCTTTACAAAAGTTAATATTCATCATAGTGAAGTGTAGTCTAATTTATCATTGAGTTATGTGAGATACGACCCCTGGTTGGTCTTCGTAAAGAGAAACTATAAGATTTGATCCAACATCCAATATCATCTTTTCATCTAATCATAAAGCCCTAGTGTATATAACAAGCAATGTCTAAATATGCAAAAATAAACATTATAAAACATGAAACATCATCGCACATATGCCTTAAGAGCATGGAATCCTTTATCACATAACCTATATACATGACAACCAATCACTGATCCACCAATTAAACTCTAAAGCAAAAGCAACAGCTCAAATAAACAATCTTCAACAACACATTATAGACACACACAAACACAATCAAAACTCAATTTATGCACTAAAAACAAAAATAGCCAAGAATCATTCCTCACATAATACACACCCTAAATTTGAAGGAATCCCATATATATAAATACTTACATGTTACACTCCTTGATATCTTCATTAGTATGCTTGTAAACACAATCCTGCTCACGACACTCTCCGTACAATCTAAAAAACCTGCAAACCGGCATCCGAGCCTTATCATACTGGTGCAAAAACCCGCAGGCTTCTCCTTTCATACACAGACTACGGAGCCAGTGCCGGCAAACCGTTTGCCGGAAGCTCCGTCGTCCAGGATTGTTACCGGGAACGGGCTCAGCAACCGAAGGAGCGGCGGCACCATTGGAAGCCGCGGAAGGTGGTAAGTAGGAATCGGGCTGGACAATAGGACCGGAAGGTGCAGCGGAAATGGTGGCAGATGCAGTGGCGGCGGAAGGAGGAGCGTCGAGACCGCCCTCGAAATCGAAGCTGAGGACTCCCTCGGAATCCTCCATTCGGATGGAAGGAGAAACGGTTGAAGTGAATTAGGGATTTGAAGGGGAAATGTTATTTTGATTCGATTCAAAATGTAACCTAAACGTTGAATTCAAAGAGGAACATAAAAAAGGTTGCGGCGGGACTCTGACACAGTGAAGGTCACAGAACTAAAACTGAAAGAGGAAACACCTGTTTGTGTTTTCCACTTTACTTTTACTTTTTATCTATGTTTTATTTTAATTCTATTATTTTATTATTATTATTTTCTTTAATTAATTTTTATAGTTGAAGCATCATCTTAGGAATTTTTTTTTACAATAACCAACTATTATATTCAATCTACTGTCAATATATTAAAAATTGATTGCATGTTTTGCCTCATTTGTCTTTTAACATTTTGAAAAATACACTAACAAATGGGCAAATATATAATTAACTAATATCTAACAATTAATTCAAACAAACCTTTACATTCGTGCCAAGTGTCAACCAATCATTCGTTGGTACATTATAACCTTCCCCTTTCCCACCAAAATCATTTCACAACACTCTTCTTTTCTCTCCTGTTTTCTCTCTCCAATTTTCTTTGCCTTTCTCCCATTAACCCTAATTTCGCCGCGCCCCTCTCTCTTTCCCTCCCGTTTTCTCTCATCTATCTTCCCTTATGTCTTCCCTCAAACCTTACACTGCTGCCATCTACGATCACCATCACCTCATTTGAGTCCAAAGTTCTTTCTGTTATCATTTCTTCTATTACGAAAGTTTGTTCCTTTTTTTGTGGTTTGTTGAACTAAAAAAACTCAAGATTATATTTTCAGGTTTGTTGATGAAACTTTATTTGTGGAAAAAAAAATTGTTTAATGATTTTGTTTACTATTTTGTCAAGTTCTTCTTCATTTGAAGTTGGGTCAGTTGCCACTGCTTCTTCTTATTCATTTGAAACTTTTTTATATTTTAACTTTTGATTCTGGGATTGCTCATAATTTAATTGAACTTATTACATTTATTGCGCAGATTGAAAAGAATAGAGGTGATAAAGGAGGGTTTGGTCCGTTATCATCAATGGGTTCTGGAAGAATTGAAAATAGCTTCAGTGGTTTGAGCATATCTAGCATTGGATCTGGTTTTGGATCGAGTACTGATGTTGATTCCTTTTCTACCAAACATAAAGGTTGGTTTCCCTAGATTCTCACAAATTCATCTAGAATGTTTGTAAATGTAATTACTTAGAATGGCAACAAATCATGCAGTCTCCAAGGCTGTGCTTTATTCTATGTCCAAATTATCATGTTTCGGAATTAAGAGTTATCTTTTCATTAATGTACCCTCCTTTTCTCTTCCTTAGGTCGGCCAACTGCGTCTGTTGCTGCTCCGCCAAAGGGTCTTGATATGAAGCTTGGTAAATCTCAAAAGACAAATCAGTTTTTGGAATCATTGAAAGCAGTCATTCTTGGAGATGTTCAGCCAAGACTTAGCCAGTCTCGGACAGCTGTCTCACCCCTTACCGATCCTGTCACTTTAACTATTGAGGAGAAATTAAATGTGACTCTGAAACGAGATGGCGGAGTTGGTAGTTTTGATGTTCAAGGCACATTGTCTCTGCAGATTCTTAACCAAGAAGATGGACATATTCAAGTTCAGGTATTGTATACTTACTATCTTTCTCAAGCTGTGTCATGTGGCTTGCATAACCAGTAATTTAATTTTAATAACAAAATGAGTTATTGACATGCAAAAGTTATAGTTGTTTCATTTAATCTCATCATCATTTGATAAAACAGTTCATGTAAAACAAAATTCTTTTCCCACCTTAGATGTTGTCTATAGTGTATATACATTTTTCTCATGGTTTATGTGAGGTTTAGTTTGCACCGATATGTTAGACAAACAATTATCTATGTTTCTTATTGTTAATGTTTAAAAATCAATCTGTTAGCAATTTAAAATAGGTCAATTATAAAGTTTTAGTTAGATACTTCAGGCATAGATGTTAAGCTTAATATGAGCTGTTTTTTTTTATGCTTTAGCCGCTCGATCAATCTTCTTACACACATGATGGGGCAGGTAAATAATAAAAGAATAACATCATTTAGTTGTTGGAGCAGCCTACTAGAGGTTTTCCTCAAGACTGTTTTGTTCCTTCCTTTTATTAACTCTCCTAACTAACCTAGCCTATATACAGTTAAAGCTATCATTAGTTCAGTTAGTTGTCATTTGTGGCTCCCTACAATCTTTGTTATTTCTCCGACTGTACATCCATTTAATCAGGGGCATGGTAGCACAACAGTTAGGTTATGTAGTTGTGTATTATCGTATTCTCCGATATTTTGGATAGAAAAAGAATAGGCCTGAATGATGCTGCAGGCCAGTGATGCTGCAGGTGTTGGTCTTTTAAAGTGGAGAATGCAAAGCACTGATGAGTCATTGGTGCCACTGACAAGTGAGTTAATATATATCATGAATGTGGTCAACTACTTTATTTTCATGCAATAAGAACTGACAGTGTCACATATATTTCAAATGCAGTCAAATGTTGGCCATCTTCTTCTGGAAATAAAACTTATGTCAACATTGAATATGAGGCTTCATCAATGTTTGATCTGCGGAATGTTATGATTTCAGTACCTCTTCCAGCTCTTCAAGAGGCATCATCTGTTAATCAGATTGATGGAGAATGGAGGTGTGTAATTTGTTGTTTTTCTTCCCTGAACAATCATGTTTTTGGTTGAAGTCAGTTGTAAATTGATGTGGTTAGTAGAATCTGTTACACATCCGGGAGCTTTAAACCACTGATCAGATTTTCATGCATTATATTGTTTAATGGAACTAATTTTGCTTTCACACATCACTCATCCCCTCTCAAAATCACCAATTGATGATGTCTTTCATATTCTTACATACATTTATAGCTCAAATCATTTTACTTTACTCACATTCTTGTGCACTCGATATTTCCCTAATAAAATTGGTTTGCAGGTATGACTCTAGGAATTCCATTTTGGAGTGGTTTGTCCTTCTAATTGACAATTCAAATCGCAGGTATGCTATGTTTGGAGTGACTTATTAAGATTTAATTTTAAGCTTTAGATTTGTTTTGTCTGATCTTAAAATTTTGGCAGTGGGTCAATGAAGTTTGTTGTTCCACAAGCGGATTCATCAGCATTCTTTCCCATTTCAGCTCGTTTTGCAGCAACTGAGACATTTAGTGACCTGAAGGTTTGTGTTTTTCTTTATGGTATTCAATTTTATTAGGGGCAGTGGATGTAGTGTAATTTGGAACATGTGTCAAAATTTGAAACTGACATTTATTAACCCAAAGATGTTTGTATGTCTGGGAAGTTTTTTCAACTCATTTTCCGTCTGCTATGGATAATATATGATATTATTAGCTTGAATGTTGATGTAATGGGATCTTAACCTTTTTTGCTTATCTTTAAACGTAACTTTTTATTTTATAGATCAATTATTTTAAAAATTATCTTTATTAACTACTTAATTAAAAAATGATTATTTATCAAATGATTAAACGTAACCAATGAACTTTCATGTTCTGATATTGTATATGTTATACAGATTCAAAGGAAGTTGCATATTCAAATTGGAAACCAAGGGAAACATCTTCGATGATGTTTGAGAAACAGAAACATATAGGTGGCATCAAGGGCTCGCCCCCTTCTAACGCATCTTCTGTTGCACTCTTGGACACGGTGATACCCTATCATGTAGACAAATTACAAACGTCAAATGATGGGTGGAGGTGGTGGCGAGTTAATTTACTACGTTTATCTTGGGACAACAACACTAACTCGTAATTTTGCATCGCAGGCGAGTTCATAATTTCTCTCACTAAATTGGGGTTTGACATAAATGGTTGTTGCAATTGGCGTGGAAGCTCGGCAGCAGACACCCACTGGCTTAGGTGGGCTTGGTATACCAGATCTTGAAGGCATGTTGGGTGGTTTGCCAGATGCCAGTTCATTGAGCCAATTTATGCAAAATCCAGTTATTTCACAAATGATGCAAAGTATCCTTTCCAATCCTCAAACAATGAATCAGGTATTTACTTAATGTGCCCATAAGCTGTGCATGTTTTTAAACTGATATCTCTAACGTCTCAGTTTCTCTTAGATTCTTGGTATGAATACTGATCAGCGTGGGGTGCCTGATCTAAATTCAATGAGAGAAGTGATGCAAAACCCAGAGTTTCTTCGCATGTTTTCCTCACCCGAGACAATGCAGGTAGATAGATTTAAAATACACATGTCTGTTGATGAATTTGAGCTAATATGCTCTCCCAATTAGTGTTGAGTACATAACTATTTACATGTTAATAAGTTTTTGGTCCAATGCTGAAGCATTTAGTCATGTTTATTTTGGGAGTACATTAGTTTTAAATGCTTTTACAGCTATTTTCAGTTTTGTATTTCCTGTCTTGTGATGAGTTGTTTGAATAATAGGTTTTCAATATAAAAAAAAAAAAAAGTATCATAGTCAGACCTGATTGGAATGAGAACTGCCTAGATCAAGTGGTGGTATAATGGCCTTCTAGCATTTGGGAATTAATGGGCTGAGATAATTTGTGATTAAATTCTGATGAATTGTGTTGAAAAAAAATAGATTTTAGTAAATGTATCCCATGTTCTCAAGTAGCAGCTATAACATAGCAAAAATTTGACAAGTCATTATTGTTGTTTCACTATACATGATTTAATGCCAAGTGTTGTCAAATAGTAGTTATTGCAGTGCTACAAAACTGTAGCATATCATGATTTGAACAAAATGCTATTTTCCACGATCTACCGTTGACAATGCTAATGTGATCTAATATGTTACGAGTTACTGTTGTTGTCCCAAGATAAACGTAGTAAATTAACTTGTGTATTTTCAATTATGGCAGCAACTCTTGTCTATGCAGCAAGCTCTTATGACTCAGCTTGGTCAGTAGCAATCAACACAGTAAGTAATGGAGCAATCCTGGCATTTCTATTTTCACAGTCATTAATTTTTGCTAGCTTTGTTTATACTTATACTTGATTGTTTAATTGTGTTGGTCATATATCTCAATCATATACTATGAAACGTGGATGCACCAAAACTGTAGGTGCTAATGCATCTTGTACGTGCTAGGTACAGATATGCTTGGTTGGGTATGTACAATTTTTATGAAATAGTAATGTAAAGCGATCTCGGGCTTGGATATGGATGGCTTGAGAAAAAATGTTGGCATTTTGGGTCCACATGTGAGGATTTTTCTTATTTTATTTGACCCGTGACACTACCCCCTTTCACTCAAGTGAGTGTGAGAAAGGCTAATCTCCACCATTTGATCTCTTATGGATGCTTTATATTTATTTTGAATAGAACCATTCTTAGTTGTGTGTGGTTCTAGATTAATGCAATTCAACTCGTGTTATTTTGTCTCCATAATGATAGCAGTTTCCTTGCACATCAGTTGTTAATAACCTATCGGGAGTAGTTAAAGGAGCTTTCTTGCCTCTTTTTGGTTTTAACGTTTCTGGAATAATTAATTTTAACTTACTACATCTAATTAATTTTAACCAAATTACCATAAGAAATTAATCATTCCATTTAATATACTATTCATTTGATATAATTAATTTGTATTAGATAATTAAATTTATCAATTAATATTTACAAATATATATATATATATATATATATATATATATATATATATATATATATATATATATATATATATATATATATATATATAAACAAATTATATATCAATTAAAATTAATGGACATGTGCGGACGCACGCGTATTTTACTAGTTTCCCATAAAAACCAAATATTTAAAAAATTGTCGTAAGTGGCCAATAAATAAACCTCGTGTCGCCGGATAAAATGGCGACACAGGTCATTCTCCATGAACATCGCCAGAGTGATTGGCGACTCTGTTATGCAGGCAAGCAAGTCGCCATTGTAATTGGCGACACATGCCATTAGGTTTGCCACATTTTAATTTCTAATATTAATTACGTTTTTATTAATATTTTCTATAAAAAAATATAAAATACATATTTTAATAAATATTATAATTACCTATTAAATAAATTAAGTTTATTATTAAATTTATAAATATTTTAATTACCTATTCTATGTAAATTATTTATTAAAATCTTTAAAGAATAATAATATAATTAAAATCAAATATATAAATAAATATTGAAATTATTAATAATTTTAATTTTTTCATATAATATTTAATATTTTTATAACATAATTAGGTTTAAATAAAAATAATTTTAAATTAATTTAATAAATTTAGGTTTAATTAAAAATAAACTTAATTGTGATTATAATTTGTTGTTTTTAAGTATTAATTAAAAATAAGTATTAATTATAAATAGAAAATAAAAATTAATTATAAATTAATTTAAATACAAAATAAAAATTGATTAACCATTGAATTTTAAAGTGTATAAATTTTGTAAGGATATTTAAGACATATCATATGGAGCACGTACTATTTTATTTTTCTATAAATACCACTGCAAACACATATATGTTTTCACAATATTGTATACCAAAAGACTGAAGCGTTAGTGCATTTTGAGTGGAGTGGAGTCTAGAATGTCCGCATTTCTAAATCAACGTTCTTCGTCGTCGTCGTCATCAGCATCGGAGGAACCCTTTCCAACACTCGATCTAATGAAAAGAAATGTCGTAGTTGTCTTTTCAGCAAGAAAGCCTATAATGAAGGTGCTCCTGTGGAATACGCAGACGTTGGAGCACTTGCACAGGGAACTGAACCGTTGGCTAGAAGGAGATATTGGTCTGGGAGAAAAGATTAGGAAAATTGAGAGGTTGGTCGAGGAGACCGGGAGAAACGGAGTTACTCGAGAATGGAGAAAAGTGGAAAATAATGTTGGTGTCCTTGTGATGATGTTAACACCAAAGAAGATAAAGTTGATGGTCGTGATATCGTAGACTCTTTGGTGCAGTGTTCTGTTTTATGTCTTTACGTTGTTGTTATGTTTGTTTGGTTTATGTGGCCTTGGTGCAGTGTTTTGTCTTTATGTTGTTGTTAAGTCATTTAAGTATGCTTTTAATCGAATGAAATTTGCTATTAATCGAACGAAAGTTGCTATTGAATTAAAGGGACATTGTTACATATGAATCTATGATCTGCTGCTTGATCCTACGTTAGGACATTTTGTACGATTGTGTCCTGGTTGCTGACACGAACTACACAATCTCCTCAGCTTGTCTGCAGTATCCATCTCTATTTGAATGTGTGTGTTGTTAGGCCGACCCTTTTTCTTTCTACGCATCAAGTCATTATGCCAAACAATTTCGCATTCGTATTGAGGCCAATAGTCCTCCTTTGCCACCACCTGAAAGCTGCATGTGGAGATATTGCATAGACTTATCACTTGGTGAACTGCAGAAAGAAGGTTGGTTGGGTCCTGGCGCGCCTTCGAACACGCTTCTATGACATGAGAGCAAGGCATACAGAATGCTTGAAACTTTCCACAATCACACCAGCTCTTATCCAATTCAACACGGTAACATCCCCTAGGCCTTCCTTCGTTGTGATCAATAGACTCGGCAACACTGAACCAACCAGTTGTACGGTCAAAGATTGTGACCACGTGTGTCTTGGCTTTGGCAGCTTCCTCTTTCATGAATTTCATTGAAGTATCGTTGTACAGCTGACCCGATTGTAATACCGAACCTTATTCCGTACGTCTGCTATCAAAGAATGATCCTAGACTAAAATAGGTTGCCTTGACCAAGGCAGTTATCAGGAGGTTTCTGATTCCCTTGAAAACATAATTCATTGATTCGACGAGGTTAGTTGTCATGTGGCCCCATCGCACACTATTATCGTATGCCCGTGTCCATTTCTCCCTATCAATGTTATAAATTCATCTTAATGCATTCGCGTTTATTAGTCTGATCTCGTAGGTAGTATTTGAATGTGGGTTATGTTAGTGCATATCTCGCGTTCACAACCTTCTTCTGTAGCGTCTTGTCTTTGATTTCCCGCATGAAATTCTAGGCAATATGCCTTATGCAATAGACGTGAGTCGAGGGCGGATCCTGCCAACCGTTATCAAGGTTATTGTATGCATTATCGATTGATGGATGTCGATCAGAGATCAAACATAAGTTAGGTTGGGGAGACACGTAAGAGCGAAGATTTTTTAAGAAAAAACTCCAACCCCCAACAGTCTCCCCTTCTACTATAACGAAGGCTATTGGAAAAATGTTGTTGTTCCCGTCCTGTGCCACAGCCATGAGCAGTGTCCCATTATATTTCCCGTATAACCATGTTCCGACAATTTGAATTATAGATTTACAATATGCAAACCTTTTGATGCATGGTTCAAACGCCCAAAAGAGTCTGTGAAAAATTCCATTTCCACCAACACAAATCCCGTCTGGTGTATACGCAAGCATTGTCTCCAATATCGCAACAGTTCCTGGAGAGTAGTGTTTAAGAGCCACCAGGAATTTTGGAAGTTCCTTGTATGACTCCTCCCAATTCCCAAACACCCTTTCAACCGTTTTAGTCCTGGCAATCCAGGCTTTTCGGTATGAAGGAGTGTAGTTGTACCGTTGAACCATATGTGCAATTATGGTGCTCACCTTCAAAGACGGGTTGTCGCTAACGACTGACAGAATCTCATCACAAATCAATCGAGAGCTGAGTTTGCGATGGTCCTGCATCGGATTCGAGATTATACAAGTGTGCACCGGACCCATTGACCATATCTTCCAGGAACCGCTCCTCTTTCTGAAAGATGGTGTTAATCGGAACATGCACTCCTTGTTACGACAATAGATCGTATACCGCGTCGGATTTGTCCGATCGACTCTATAATCGGCTGACAACTCCATGTGAAACTGTTTGATTGCCCGAACACAATCTTCTTTGGTACAAAACTCGTCACCCTTTTTTAGTTGCCCTTCTGTTGTGTAGTTTGGGTTGTAGAAAACATCCGTCGAGGGTTCATCGTCATCTAAGTCGAGATTTGTCATGTGTCGAGGTGGGAAATAAACATTGTCGGGTGGAACCCCATCCTTTTGGTTGTTCACCATCTCGTCAACAGTAACTTCAGCTGCTTCTTCTTCGCCAACGACATTGACTTCAGCGTGTTCCTCGTCAGAATCGTAAAAAACGTGAGAAGAATCAAGTTTCTGAGACTGTTGTTGTTGTAACGTAACATATAACACGATATCTGAGAAACCAGAATACTCGTGACTGTGGAACATGTTACGCACATCTTCATCGTCTCGCACCTTTAACGGGAAAAATTTGCATTCAACATGGCCGCCAAAAAACACTGGGTTCTTGTATATTATTTTCCCAACTGAAGCACATTGTAGTTTTTTTCTATTCTTGATTTTAGGTGTAAAAAATTAGACCTTCTGTCAATTAAAAATCTTGTAACATCAGTGTTTCTGAAATTGTAATCGGATATTTCACATTCGAAAACTTCACCGTTAAGATGTGCGGAAATCATATATTGTAGTGTTTGAGACATGGCGAAAATTGTATTTGGAAAGACTGTATTTGAGTGTTTGAGAGTTTGACAGTTATATAGTTTAAAGAGTTTGAGTGTTTGAGTGTTTGAGTTTAGAGACTTTATTAAATAGTTGGAGTGTTTGAGTGTTTGAGAGTTTGACAGCATTCAGTGTTTGAGTGTTTGGAGATTTATCCCGTGAATTGATTTTCTGCATGCAGCATGCTTGATAAGACAGGACAGGGCAAAACTCTACATTTCACATGTGACCCTGCATGCAACATGCTTGATAAGACAAGACAGAGCAAGACTCTGCATTTCACATGTGACCCTGCTTGATAAATATTCTTCCAAAATTACATGTATTTGGATACGTATTTCATAATACAAACCCACAACCTATAAAATCAATGCCTTAATATGCAATCAATGGCATGCAACATGCT